ACACAGTTGCGTTCAGTTCTTTCAGCTCTGTTAACTTTGTACTATCCAAAACGCAGCTTATTTGATCACCCTTTCAATGTAATGTAGTGGCATATGCCTACAAAATTACCTGTCTCTTTTTCTGGTAACTGGTGAAAAAGACTATTATCTCATTGGAAGTGTATGAGCTCAAATAATCAACCCTCCAGAGTGCAGGATGATAAATAATAGGTGGCTCACTATGTTGGCACCAATGTGATATGTTTGGTTTTCTGTAATTCTTCATTTTTCCTCTTAGAAGAGAAGTCCTGTCTTCTGGTGAAATTTATAATAAGCTATTATTGTTCAGTCATATTCTAATTATCTAGCCATGGACTTTATTTGATGGTCTTGTAATGAATGCTCTTTATCAGAGCATTACACTGTCTGATATTAGTTTGAATTTACCAATCGGTGAGACTTTCGTTTCTTGAAGGACACTACTAAAATTATTTCTGCTTGGGATTGTGTGAAAACACACACTGCACCTGGCAACTACTGTCTCTCCAAACCCTAGACTCGATAGGTATGACTGAACGATAAAAAGGACTTTGAGTCAACAGACTATATTAAGGCAACTTTTTTTGTTCATATTAAGGGATGGACCCAAGTGACAAGAAGTTCGCTACTCTGCGTCAGCGTCTGCAGTCCAAAATAAAGGAGGCAGACAGCATCTCTCATGGTCGCAATGGCTCTGTTCTCCCAATCCTCGTAAGCAAAGTCTTCATTCAGGTCCTAAATCAAAGAGGAATCCCGCTGGTGCAGTGTCCAGCAGAGGCAGACTGGGAGATTGCCTGCTTGGCGCACCAGTGGAACTGTCCAGTGCTGACAAATGACAGCGACTTTTACATATTTGACCTTCCAGGTGTGTGACTGAAGAGAAAGTGTTCCTACATTGTTGATGATTCAAATAACCCTTTCTAGTAACTTGCACTTTGTTGTTTACCCTGAGACGCATGTCCCCTTGTTTTCTCTCTTTTTTTTATGTCAGCTGGTTATCTGCCACTTCATTTTTTCCAGTGGACCAATCTTAATGGAAAAGCTTCTCAGCGCTACATCCCATCCCGGTGTTACACCACTAACTCTCTTTGCCGCTGGTTTGGGGGCATGAATCGCGAGTTGCTGCCTTTATGTGCAGTCCTGACTGGTAATGACTACGGTGCTCCAAAAGAGGCTGAGACTCTCCTTGCTCTCATAGACATGAGCGCATTAGGAAGAGGTGGTGGCCGAGGCAGGGGGAGGGCACCTGCTTCTCGTATCGAGGACATCCTTATTTGGCTGTCATTGTTTCCGAATGTGACGGAGGCACTGAAGGAGGTTAGCAGGTTAATGGATGGAGTGGCTGGGGTAGGCAGGAGAGGACAGGGAGGTGGGCTCAGCTCCCAGCTGTTGGCTGCTATGCAAGAGTACAACATCAAGGCTCAAAGCTCTCTTGCTCCATGGTTCTCAGAATGTACATTAGCTCCGAGGGGGAAGACATCTGGTCAGGCACAGCTGCCAGAGTGCTTGTCTCTGGCTGCAGCACGGGGACAGCTGTCTAATTTGGCTCTTGATGCTTTTGTCATGCAGAGGGTCCTTCTCATCCCGCAGGTGGAGAATAGCAAACTAGCCAGCAGCCACTGTATTTCCACACCAATACGTCAGGCTGTGTATGGGATTTTACTGCAAAAAGCTGAAAACACTGCAAGCCTAGTTAGTGCCGCAAAACTGGCAAAGGCAGGACAAGCCCAAATGCAGGGAACGGGAAGTAAAAGAGGACGAGGTGGTGGAGGCAGGGGCCAGCAGGGGTCTGAACAAGTGTTCAATGCAGCGCCAGTACAAACACAATCGCATGGCTCTGGTTCTCCAATTTTTGTGGAAGAGTACGACCGTTTGGACCTAACCCTCAGCAAAAAGCAAGTGGAACCAGTCATCCTTTTGAACCATATACATCTGGATGGGCTCAGTCAGGTAAACACATTTTGTATTAATTAACAGTATTGCAGGATGTTCATTAACTAGTTGGTGCAGACTGTCAAAGTGGAAGAAAATCATACATGATGCCTCAATATTTTTTCAAAAGTGCACATTGCTTGCATGAAAAGACAAACTGTTCCATGTTTTTGCTAATGCAAAAACTCGGCCGTCTTTATATTCAGATCTGAAACTTGGAGCATCTTAGACAAAACAGCTGGTTAACTTCAGTCCCTTTAGTAGGAAGGTCAAAGAGAAACATTAAATAAGGCAGGGCAAGACTATTTAAAAAGTTAATAATTAACATTCTAAGGTCAGTCCATTGTTGGTGGCGTCACAAGTCCAAATGCAGGGAACAAAAGTGAATAGAAGTATGTGATTGTATAGTAAAAAAAGTTTGAGGGTGCTTTTGCAAACCTTTTTGGATTTTGAAGAGTTTAAACTCTTTAAAATATTGATTTCAATTGTAAAAAAAATAATTAGAAAGTAAGTAAAATAAAAAACAGGCATTGTTTTAATCCTCTATGCATACAGATTTGAGTACAGGTCTGTTCCAGTTTGAATGATTGGACTTTGTTGAAAATGTTTGCTCTGATTGGTTCATTAGCAGCCTGAAAAATCTTTTTTTTGACTGGTGAAATAAGAAAAATTGCCATTGATATGACCTTGGGTTCGTCTGTTGAACTGCTTCTTGTTTGACGAGGGTTGTTTTTCAATACATGTCATATCCAGGCTCCTGCTGCAGTGCGCCTCGGTGTCCTGTTTGAAGTCTTAGGTGTGACACAGTCGGCCCTGGCTCCAGTTCCTCTCCATCTGCAGCTTGCTGTTGCAGTGACTGGATTCTGGTTGCGTGAGGCCACACCAGCACCTTCACAGGCCCTGCTGCAGGCTTTAGTGATGGGCATGGTTTACGGAGAGTTGACATTGAACAGTCAGCCCGGAGCTCCCCGCAAAATACCCGTTGGTTAGTTGATTTGAAAATAGGCATTTTGTCAAGTCAGAGATCCACCTCTTAACGGGCGAACCGTTCTAGCTCCACAGCTAAACTGGGCCGCCGAGCGAGGTTTTCTGTCAGCACTAGATCGTCAGCGGGTGAGACCTGGTGAAAGACGAGGAGTGGACGTCGGGGCGGCCCACTGCCTCAGCCAATGGCAGTCCTGCCTCTGGAGTGCCCTGTGCCTGAATCAGCTGCTGCTGGTGCCGCTGCCCGAGCCAAATGTGTCATTGTAAGAGGGTTAAAGCTTTCTTCTACACATTCAACCACCTGTTGACATATGAGCTAGATTTCCTGGAATAAAAAGAAAATCCTTCTTGCTTAGGTTGTTCAGTGGTACCTTGGTACACGGCGTCTTCAGATACCTGAAAGGAGGCCGGCCTGTGGAGTCGTTACTGCCTGGTGGATCGTTATCTGGACAGCTCTGTTTCTCCCTGCTGGATGCTGTGAAGGACTGCAGCCTCAAGGCAAACCTCTCCAGCTTCGGATCAGGCAAGACGAGGAGAGGTAGAGGCAGAGGGAGGAGACGAAGAGGCGGGAGAGGAGGAAGAGGACAATCTCAGGGCGGAGGGAGGGTTTCAGAGGAGATAAACAACAGGTTTGCTCTCCTTATGAGTGATGAAGACGAGGATCACTGACAGAGAGGCAGTGACAAATGCACAGATCTGGAACACGATCATTAAAGGTTATTCTTTGGAGGAGAATGATATTTTTAACCTTTACCGTTATGCTTTGCACTATTTTAACCTCTTCACATGATATGCAGGTGCTTGTGTTATATGTTTGAAACAGTCATCTAAAATGTGCATAAACTTCTCCGATCAGCTGTTTCAAACCATGTGCATCATTTTACATGCATTTTTAAAATAAATACACTAATTATATTTACTCAATCATGTTTGCTTAAGGACTAAACACTGAATGTAAAAGAATAGTGTTTTTATTACAAAGGTAGTAAAAGTGATGCCAATAGGTATGAACTAGAAATGGGCCAATAAGACTTTGTGTGGTAGATGAGGATTTTGAGTTTTATTTGAAGTCTTTGCTGCTGATTTGGATTATTTATTCAAAGAAGATAAAAATGTGCTCCATGTTCTTTCAGCAGACACAGTTGTTCTGAATCCAAAAAAAGAAAATACTAACATTCTCAATGTTTCCATCAAAACCACAGATTTTTACTCGACTAGATTGAAGCATGTCCGATGCATTTAGGAACTAAACATTTTGGGAGTTATGGGAATTGTCAAACACGAGTGGATAACAGGAAAATTTTAATTGTGCATCTCTTGTATTGAAAAAATATTCTACTGCTGAACTTAAAAACATGTTTTTTTTTCTACTGATTTATGAACTTAAATGGGTTTTTTTTTGTGCAGTGCTGTAAAAAGTGACAAACTACCAAACAGTTTTGGCAATGATGGGAGTCCTGAATTGTTTTGTGTTTTTTACACAATGTTATTGGTCAAAATTTAGAAAAAAAAAAATAAAAAAGACTCATGATAAAAAAGTCAATTTTTTGTGTTCCAAGTCTTGAAAATATCAACAAGCAAGAAATGTTAAGTGGCAGCTAAACGGAACAATTCCAGATAAATTTTCTGTTTTAAACCCATTGACTTGTATGAAACGCTCATATCTGAAACAGGATTTTACATTTTTCACAAATTTTACAACATGGTCCGATTATGATTTTACTCCGTTTCTGGTGCTCCTACTTTGGGAGAGTCGTTTATAATGAAATATGGCAAATAAAAATAAGTACCATATTACTGACCTGTTGTAGGCAGAGCAGATTATAGTGAATTACTTTAAAATCATCAGTGGTCGCAGTGGGTATGATTTGACGCATGAATGGTATGAAAGCTGCAAAAGTTAAAAAAAAAAAGGCAAAGGGGCAAGATGACCACCACCATTATGACTTCTGTGATTTATAAATACACGGTAATTTTTTACATATTTTTTATAACATTATTTTTTCAACATTAATTCATGTGGTGCTGTCTACAATTATGTATTAAAAATGTACATGAGAGCAGTACAGAATTTACATTCCTATTTTTATTCCCACTGTTTTACTTGTAACTACAGCTGAAAATAAAATGTTTACACATTTTTTTCAAAGGCCTGTGTGTGGCATTATTTATAAAGTATTAAGGTGGCACTAAAGCTTTTGCTTGGAGTAAAAGAAAAATGTAACATGTCTCATAAAAAACTGCAGTTTTGGAGTGAATATAAGTTAAAATTAAATTATGTAGTAAAAACATGTCTGTAAAAGAACATTCTTGCAATAGTGTGAGCCATCGAAGCATGACTGGATCTTTCTGGGGGAAAAAAAACAACAAAAAAAGAAAAACCCGACTGTTGTGAGTTAAATCGGTTTCTTTCAAAACTGTAAACATACATTCGAAAATTAAAACACATTAGATAATATTATTTTACAACGAGGGGGATGAGGTGGGGGCTGAGGAAGAGGACGCGACATGCGGCTGAGAGTCTATGAGATCCGTATCTTCATCTTCGTTCACGCCACACGTGTCGACCACACAGATCAGGCAGCTGGTGACGGGGAACGCTCGCACTTTGCTGCACGTCACCCACCTGACAGCAGAAAAACATGAGTACAATTTGAATCAGTTAAGGATCTGGAAAATGCAAGATAGAAACGTGTATTTGTGGCTGCTTCAAAAAAAAGATAATCGAGTCGTGCTTTCACGCTTAAGTCTCGAGCAAAAAAACAAAAGTAAGAATTTCTGGAAAGCAAGCTAAAGTACCAACCTGTCGGTTTCAGTGTGGTACTCCAGGACGTGCCCGAGCCGTCCCACCCCCTGGAAGCCTGCCAGCACATATATTGCATCACCAACAGCTGCACACTTCACCGTCACGCCCCTCCATGGCATTGGTGAGGCAGCTCGCCACTCGTTGCCGGCAATGTCATAATATTCCACTGAATCCAGTCCACCTTCAAGAACACAAAAAAATATCCTCGTATGACAGCTGCCCTGATGTACAGTTTACCAATCTGTACTGGTCCCTGTGGTGGTCGCAGTTACCCAAAGGCCCCTGTCCTCCCACAGCATAGATCCTGTTGTTGACAACCGCCAGTCCATGGTTCTTCCTGGCCTCCCTCATCCCACAAAGCTCTCGCCATCTGAAATGTGCGATTAGGGTTTAGGAGAAAATGGTTACCAGCTGGACAGCAGCTGCTTGTTTTATTCTAGGGGCTACTGGTTTGAGAAAGCCTTTCTGAAATTTACTGGATACATTTTTAAAAACCCTCAAGTCTACTCTGCATCAAGCTAAATTATAGTTTTTCTTGGACTTCTGGTAGGATGTACTATTTAAATGTGATTCAAAGGTCATTTTCAAAAACTTGAAACTTCTTTTCTCTTCCAGGGCTGTAAGAACAAAATGGTTGTCATTCTGTTCTTAGAGCTTTTTCTCAACACAATTTCTGGGGAGACATTGTTGTGGTGCAATGTTTGACAACTATTAATTACAGATGCTGCAGTAAAAGTGACTTTTAAGGACTTCGCAGGAGTTTTTGTGACATAACAGCTGAACTTTGTTCTTGCCACTTCTAGTAAAAGCATAATTTTCCGCGTTCAGAGTACGCATTGCCTTTGAACCTAATTGAGGTCTAATTTGCTGCTATATCAAACTCTACTGACTAACTGCTCTTTCTGCTGCCAAGATATATAGATATGAGGAAGTAGGAATTGTAACTGATTAGTAAACTAATGGAATTTGACCTACTAATTATTTGCACTACTGTATGAATTAAATAAAGTAAATATCTAAAATTTACACGAATTAAGGGGAATATTTGCACAAATATATGTCAAAATGTCATTCTGTTGTGTCTGTGGGCAAACTATCACATCCGATTGAACTAATCCATGTTAGACAGATAAACATGAAGGTGTAAACCATCCTGTTAACTTCAGAATAACCATAAAATTATTATTCTGAATAAGGAGAAAGCAGTTCACGGACCTGCACTAAAAACTTCTGTTTTTATAGGGAAGTTGAGTTAATCAAACACATTTGGATACTTAGTTTTTCCACTGACTACGAAGACAGTCATAGAAATTTCTCTGAAAGAAATTTAGCAATCGTCTGGGAAATTTAGCAAACCCAAAGTGGGTTTATTATAGCCTTACACAATCTCTGGATTGAACTTGGATGACAGGAGAATTGTTTGTGTCAAAGATACGAAGGTTAAGCAGACCCAGGGAAGAGCTGAGAGAGGAACGGGAAGAAGCTGACTGCAACTGAAAATGAAGAAATAGTTTGTCTCTGAGGGTTGTCCTGAAGAGAATGGATGGTTTAAGCATTGTGCACTCTGAAGGAAGGCTTGATTACACTTGCCATGTTGTGGGGCGATACTCTCCTTTTACCAAAAATGAATTAAATCCCACTAAACTCTCAACTGTCACTGATTAATTTAATATTTTCACCACACTCCCTATCCTTTCTTGTACTCACTGCTGTGTGCTGGGGTCGTACACCTCACAGTTGTTGAGGATCCTCCCAGAAACGTTATTGCCCACCGTTCCTCCACAAACATAAATGAGTCCGTTGGCTTCAACGGAGCCGTGGCTGCAGCGGGCCAACAGCATGCTGGTCTTCACCTGCCACGACTCTGTCCTTGTGTCGTAACATTCAAAAAGGTCCAAAACTGAGCTCCCTGCAGACGCACACGCAAACAATGCTGAAATCCAATGACCGTAAGCCTCACACATACAACAACTTAATTTTACTTTCTGCATCCCCATTAGGAGAAATAAAAATAACTCAGTCTAACGCCTGAAAGGTTTTTATTCTGCGTCTTAATGCTTACCCACTTCTGATCCACCCGATGTGTAGATCTTGCCCTGAGAAGCGCAAGCGGCCAGGCTGTCGCGAGGAGTGGGTGGACCTAGCTTGGAATACCAGCTATCTTTCAGAACATTGTAGCAGTCCATTCGCTTGATGGGGAACAGCTGCGAGCCCCCCAGGATGTACACCACGTTGTCCCAGAAGACGGCGGTGGCATCGCGGCGTTTCTCAAAGGGGCAGCGGATGTCTGTCCAGGTGGAGTCCTGCATGGAAAACGTCAACATTTCGCCAACACAATTTGAAGAGACATGATTTGATAGAGATACTCAAATGATTTGAAGGATATACCCGGCAAATGCTTTTGCACCAACATCATAACACTCGTGCTCAGATGTGTTTTCATATATATTCCTAATACCTTGGGATTGAAGTAGCGGCAGGACTGAGGCTGCGAGCCTCCAAACAAGGCGATCCGATAGTCGTGCTTCTTGCGCCGTGGCCGGCTGCTCTCTCCCAGGTCTTCTCGGTCTTCGAGAGACAATAGATGGTAACGCATCCCACCTTGGAGAAAAGAAGTGTGATGCTGACGTCCACCAAAGTTATTATTCTGAATAAAATGCTTATATTAATGTAAATCTTCATTAAAAGACCTCTTAGGAGATTTCATAATCTACAACTCATGATTTCTTTTAACAATATTACTAATATGCACAGCAAACCCCAGTTCTCTTCCTACTCACTGATGACCATCTTGAGGCATTGTGGGTTGTCCTGGATGAGCGGCTCTGCCTGCACGGTCTTTGACAGGAAGGTTTTGGAGACCAGAGGGAAGCGAACACACCCCAGCACCTCCACCATGTACTGCTTTCTGTTGCACACGTCATATTTCAGCCAACGCACTGCCGCGTCATAAATCTAAACACAAACGTACAGAAAAAACCATATCAGATAAACAAAGTTACCATGTTCAATCTATAAATTGAATTTGTGCGTACCTGAGCCTCAGCACGAACAGTCAGCTTGTCCTGGTGGAGCAAATATGTGAGCTGTGTAACATCCAGCTGCAAGAACTCATCCAGTTTATAGACTTCTGTAAAGTGGAGCTGGAAAAAGTCCTCTGCTGCGGCCTTCAGCTCAGGACAGTCCATACAGTCTGCTAAGGCTGAGATACCTGCGGAAGGACAGAAAGAGAAACTAGTAAATACAACTGATCTCTGTAATTTGTTGGAACTGGGTTTGTATATCAAGCGTGTACCCAGGCAGTTTGTGGCGTCGATCTGTCCTTTAAGAAACTCCACACACATCTTCTTCACTGGCTCAATCTGGTACTGGTTGGCTGCATCCAGCAACGACTGAACGTTGCTGCTGTTCACAGAGATTCTGACACACAAAGACGTGTCACTTGGCATGAGGGGAAACAAAAACACACGCAGAAATGTCGCAGAACATAAACCTCATTTAGACATTTGGACTTTCTTTAATAAAATGTTATGTTATGTTATGAATATAACCGCTGTTCCCTAAAGAAGAGGAACGAGGTGCAACACATAGCTCCAGCAAGGGAGGTGAGTGAGTGCCCCCCGTTTGTTAATATAGGTCCTTCAAGCAATGTTATGCCATTTCTTTTGAGATATCAAATCCCTTTTAGAACCATCAGTGATGATAAGTTGTTTATATCCAGATGGGGCCTGCCATCCATTATCAAACATCATTGTCCAACAGTTGTGATTAAAGGTGTCTTCAGTCAGGCCATGTGGGGGCGTTATATCCCTATGAGTGTCGTACTGAGTGGATCGACTGTAAGGGAACCACCAACTACATATTTATGACAAAGCATGACAAGACATTTTATGGCAGAACCTTACCTTGCTGTGTAAATGAATTCAATCAACAGCTCAATGATCTCAGGCTCAGCACTCCTCAGTTCCACCTCATGAGACATTGATTCCATCATTCTGGCTGGACATGAGAAAATAAGTTATGCAAAAGAAAACCAATCCGAACATTGTGGGTTTTCTTTTAATAAATCAGATGTACTAAGCATAGACTTTCATTGGAGGGTTTAAAACAAAGCTTTTAAGAAGTGCGTTTAAGAAAAACAGAAACATGGACATGTTTGCTTATTGTGCATATTGACACAGGAATCAGGCTAATCATCTGACAATCTATTTGTGTGAACTTGCAGACAAATCTTGATTGTAGCTTTAAACATAATTTGCAATGATGTGTTGCAGAATCTGAGATTTGTTTATTTTTTTGACACTCTTTGTAAACCATCCATGTCAAGATGAACTTTTTTGTTGTTGTTGTTGCATGTGTCCGTGTGATGTTTACTGGTGAACATGAGGCTGAAGAAGTGGCTGGCAGCAGCGAGGACCACTCTGTGGGCAGGAAAGTGTTTCCCCTGAACCACCAGGGTCACGTCACAGAGTGTACCCTTGGAGGTAAACACCAAACACAGTTGGGTGGTGACATATTTAAACAGACACATGCAGAGCCAAGTGTAAAACAAATCTTTGCACCTGCTTTCTCAGAATGTTCATGCTTGCCATGATGCCGGACAGCTGCCTGTACTCTTCTTTGGAGGCACACTTCCTCTCGCTTTTCTTCTTGGAGCTTGCTGCCTTCTCCGGAGACGCAACGCCCGTCATGTCAGGTCGGTATTGGACTGAGGAGTTCTCGTCAAGCAATAGGAGGCTCACTGCCGGCGGCGTGTGGCTTTTTTGTTGTCGCTCAGCAACCAGTGGGTTCGTGCTAACAAAGACGACAACTTGTTCTCAATTTTTACATTTAAAAACGAATGTTAGATGTCACTTTTCTTAATGGGGTGACTGGGACAGGAACCAGACACTTATGGGAGACTGAACATTAATTCCGTAAGATAGTGCTCAGCTTAGCTTTGCGTCTCCCCTCGTTTGACGTCTTCTTCTCCATCCTCGAGGCTGCGCAGACGCTCCGGAGAAGGCGCTATGCTGCCCCCTTCTGTTGAGTTTCATAAGAACAAGAATAGATCTGCGTGATCATTGAAATAGAATTACACACATACGTTTACTTTTTTAAGTTGAAGATTACTGCCTTGAGAGAAACTTACGTGGACTTACATAATTCTCCTAAGTTGTTGACGTAAAAAAAATAGTGCAACTTTTAGAGGAAGCTTTGGAAAACATTTCGTCACAAAGTGATCAAATAAACGCGAGTCCTCATCCAACCTGATTTTCACAGACGCGTTTCTTTTTAAAAAAACAAACAAAAAAACCAACTTTAGTTATTGGTAAGTTTAGTTATTGATAGTTTCCGTATTAGACAAAGCAGTTGTTCAAAGAAATCTTTACATTTTCTTTCCCTTTTGGGGCCTAATTGTTTGCATGATGGTTAATTTTGTCTGTTGTGGCTGTGTCTGTGTGTTATTATTATTATTTTTTTTTCAAGTTTATTAATCGTACAAATTTAGCAACATGTACCAATAAAATCCACAAAATGCAAACGCATAACAGTTTGGAATAGACTGGCTCTTTGGTAGTCACGTATCCGTTGGTGCAAATGCAAGGTTCAGGCCACCTGTGCTTTTACATTGTGTGTGTATACGTGCGTGTGCGTGTGCGTGCGCGTGCGTCACCTGACGCTCACCTGTAGTTGCACCTGTCGAGCTTTATCACTAACCTGCCTTCGTCAAAACGTTCACGCATAGCGCGGAAGATTGTGTGTGCGTGTGGCCCGCGTGACACTGACGTCACGTGGAATGTGGACGACAAAGAAACTTCATGAACACAATAAGTGACCTAAAAACAAGCCTGAAGGACGCGACAGCGGGTGAAAATGCTCCGTCTCCTCTGCTGTTGCTGCGTCTCCAGCCGCAGCCCCAGCGAGGTACGCTGCCGACACCGTCGCACCCGAGGTTTCTGTAACTTCTCGCGGGGAAAATGAAACGAACGGAGGGATCTGTCTGGCTTCAGTAGTTTCCTCGAACGTATGACTTGCAGAAGAACTATGTAGGTTTAAGGAAGATGGTTTTTGTTTTTATTTTGGTTGAGCGGCTGTAAACACAACTCACTATGGATCTACTTTGTTTGTATTTGAAGCAGGGTAATAGATTGACATCTTTGGTAAGATTAGCACTATATGAGACTAACTTTCTTTTTTTTTTTTTGCTACTGGTGAGTTTGTTAAAAACACTTGACTTTTTTCCCCCACTGATTTGAGTGTGTAGTATTAATTGTAGGAGTTTTCTAAAAAATGTTCAGCATGAGATTATGCAACAGCAATAAAAGATATATTTTAAATCTCTTGACCAGGATCGTCTCTCTTGTTTCAGAGGCAGCCTTTGTTGCAGCCCGGACCTCCATCTGAAGTGGCTGAAGCTGAATCAGCCAGACGGCCCCCCTCAGCTCACAATGGTAGACCGTGTCCGCGCTTCTCATCCGCACTGAAATGTTGTACGAATTCCAGGATCTTCTTCTACTTCATGCTTTTCTTTTTGCCTGTGCTGTCTTTTGTACGATGTCCAGATGCTCCGACAGCGAAAAGGAGTGGAAAGCTGGTGATGAGACGGGTGAATGTGCCGGAGTTGGATCAGAGATTTACCGACTTGGCAGAGATATTCAATGAGCAGCAGGAACACTACCAAGCCATGGTTGGACACATCAGAAAGCTGAAACAGACCTACGACAGTGCAGACGTTGATAACCTGGCTTTTGCTGAGTGCATAGGGGCAATGAGGAAGGAGCAGGGTGAGCAGCAAACCATTTTTTTAAATTTAAAGCAGCATAATAAGCAGGTGGTTCTATTTTTCTGTTGGTTGATCTAATTTCTGTCATTAGAGACTACATACAGGGTGTCTTTGAAGATGAAGGGCTATGACTTTGCCCTCATATTGGATCCTGTGAGCCCAGAGGGAGAAACTGAGGAGGAGCCATTGCCTCCAAGACTGCAGAGAGCCCAGAATGAGTTCAGGGGGGTTTCAGACAGCGCTAAAGCCACCGTCTCAAAGGGTGCCAAACTCCTACAGCTTACAGACTGGCTGCTCCGGAACAACAGTCAACTGGTTGAGCAAGTGAAGGGAGCAGCAGAAACCTACCAAGAACAAGGAAGACTGAATGACAACCTGGAAGAGAATATCAAGGAAGTGAGAAGGGCTAAAGAGTTATCACAGAGATACAAGAAACAGGTAGATGAAGTTTACACTGAAGCTGCACAGATAGCAGGGATTGCTGTGTAATTCCCACAGCTTTTAAATAGTTCATTTAAATGGAAAAAGAAAAAAAATCACATCTTTTTTATATATGTTATTATCTGGAACAGCTGAATTACAAGCTTTAGAAATGTTCTGTCTTTGTGACCGCATGCTTGATGGAAGACTTTGAAGTTTTGAATTTAAAATTTTCTCTTAAATGTTAATGAAGCAGGAAAACGAAAACATTTTGCATGTGGGAAACTAGATCATAGCAAAGAACGTTGCATGTCTTTGTTTTTGTTTTTTTCCTTTTTCTTTTACAAAAAAAGATAAAACAGCGGTGGGCAAATTTATCATCAGCAAAGTACTCAGAATCGAGGTAAGTTTTAGACTTTGTTTCTTAGACTAAAGAAAATCATCTTCAGAGGTTAAAAATGCCACCAGATAATGTACATCGCTATACTTAGACAATTATCTATAGAAATGTTTATTTTTTCATCAATTATAGCAATTTTTTTCAACTGCAAAACTACATATTGTCTAGGCATTTTGTTGGCTTTTGTAGGCTTACAGACTCAGATTATTTGTTAGCTTTTTTAATTGATGTTTGTCCTCATTTTTATTATTTCACTTGTGTTATTTTTTTTACCACTGTCTTTTTTTGTTTTCTGTATTTGCTTTATTTCAGTTTGATTCATGATTCAATGATCAAAGACACTTTTAGTCACGATTCATGTTGGTCTTAAATTTAAATAATAATGGCCCTAAATATCTTAGAATTAACTTACTTAGACTGACTAAAGCACTGTTCGGCACCTTGTTTTGATTTTAATTGCACTTGTTAGATTTCTTGCAGGATATTACACATCTTATGCGCTTTTTTGCCCCTCGATGCCCAAATACATTTTGGGCATACAAAATGTATTTTGTAGCAAAAAAATAAATTTTGCTACAATGTATTTTAACAAAATGTATTTGGGCATTGTACAGCAGCAAAAGTGCTTGTCAAATGTAAGCATAAGATAAAGAAAAAACAACAGCACTATTAATAAGACTACAAAAAACAAAAATGAAAATAATAAAATCAACACATCAAACTGGAAATGTAAATCTTGACATGTAAAAATGCAGTTGCATATAGTGCTTTTTCTATTTGACCAAAAATAAGTTAATACAAGAATACAGAAATTAATTTATCCATCCGTTGCCTCCACATGAATATCCTTTGAGGGTCACAGTGAGGACAGCCTGAAAAAGGCAAATTCAGAAATATATTAATTTAGGGTGTGATGCTTATTTTCTTTTTTTTTCTATCATCTATATACTGTGGTTTTAGTGGTATAGTATAATGAGAAAATCCAGGGCCCACATATTTTTTTTAGACCACATATTTTAAGCTTATCTACATATCGTATGCCTATCAGTAACCTACCTGTAATCAATTTTCTTGAGCACATAACTATAAAAAACAGAAGGGGGCAGCAGAGAGTCAGTTTACAGCTTGGTCTTTGTCACATTTTTAGACTTCACAGTCTGGATTAATAAAATTTCGATTTTCTTAGTCCATTTATTTTACAATAAACATGCTGATATTTGTGGTTTCATTCATTTTCCACAAAAAAGAACTGCTACACGTGTGCTTACACAATTGATGAAATGATAAATGTTTTCTGTGACTAATATATATATATTTCACTATTTGTGCGAAATGTATTTTTTTTTTGTTGAGAGGTTCGGTGGGAGCAGATTTGCAGCTTACCCCGTATTAACTGATTAAAAATAGCAGATTTGCCATTGTTATTAACATGAAAGCAAACAAACACATGGCCATCGCGATGATTAATACTTGAAAATCCATGGTGTTAGAAATTCGTGTCAAAATGCCCTTGCATTGTTTGCTATAAATACATAGAGTCGCCGGTTTGTATTTGGATTTCATGAGTCTCCCATCAAATGTGAAAGAATTGTGGTAAATGATGACGAGGCAGAGAATGCATTTTGATGAAAATTTATAAAGTTATGCAAGAAGTAAGCTTTAAGTATGCCAGTTAACTGTACAACAGAGATTTTCAGATACAGTCGCTTAATTTTTACAGTTTGCTCACTAAGTACTCGCGACTTTATATGTTGCATAAAATATTTTATTATCTCTGATTAATATTATTCCATTTTCAGTAGATCACTTGGCTGTCAAAGACCAAAGAATGACATCGACAACCTAGCTTGTCCATGGAAATAATCACTTTGCGCCTCATAGACTAATTTGATTGAACGCCATATTTGAAGGCGTGGTCACAATTGACCTCCTGCTTTCTGATTGGCTAACACATCTGCCACTCAGCGGAGCTTGCGTCTTCTCCGTTGGTGATAGTCTGACCAGAGAAAGTAACGAAGATGGAAGGAGCAGAAGGTGTTGAATTATTAAGGAGATTTATGGACTAGCAACCGGTTAGCCTTTTGCTGAAATCTTTGGGCCGACGAAGGACAATAAAACCGGGAACCTGACGGGTAGCATGCCAGTAAGTGCGGAGTAACTTTCTGAATTTCACTCGGCGCGGCGCCGTATCCGAGCTAGCCGAGTTGCTAATGTGGATGCAGCAGCCGGGCTGACAGCTCGAAGTCATTCAGTAAGCCGTGACAGAGAGGCGGCGGGGGGGATTAATTTACACTCTCTGGGAGTCACCGCCTAAGAAATACGACATAAGCGACAACTTTAAGCGTTGGTCTTATTTAGTACGAGTCGACAAATTTATTTTGGGGAGAAAGAACGTAGTTTAGAACAAGCTTTGTGGAGCTTAATAACGAACGAGACAGTAGCAAAGTCAACCGAACAGTTGACATTGTTAAACATTAAAAGTAATGGGTGAGCTACAGGATTCGTCTTTCAGTTGTAAATTTTCTGCCACACAAATTGAAAGTATCTCTCTGCATAATGAGTGAGACTTTGTACTTGGCTGATTAACTATAGCCGTGTGTATCAGGGTGTGGACCTATTAAGATTCTTCAGGTGTTTTTTCTTTCGTGTTTGAAAGGGAAGTGCAAAAAAACAGCAGATTGGGATGTTGGATTCTAATAATCTGTCATGTGATGGTGCTTTTCCCTACTCTGACTGTTGGGTTTCCTGCATGTGTGTATCACCTTATGCCTTCGTATTCATTTCCTCAGAAGGCAAAATTGGCTTCTTTTACAATTAGATCATATGATCACATTCAGATCCTCCTACATACAGTGTAGTTCCATCCCAGTTATCATACGTTTCAGTCAAATCGGTTTTATCATTTTCCATCTGAGGAAGGGCAGACAGCTGACCGCATTGAGTCAACGTCTTTGCAGAAATCTGTCCTTGTGAACAAGCCAGGGGTCAAAAGTGGAGGGGAGCAACTCCTTTTCAACAATACGAAACCTCCATGTGAGCAAGTCTCCCTTTAAGAGCCCATCTGCTTCAAGCAATTTGGGGTTAACACACAGGAAGCTATTTGATGACATAATTAACTTTGTTAATGACTTTGTCTGAAAGAGAGTTAACCAGATAGCAGACATAACCGCGGTTGATTTCACAGAGAAAAGAAAAGAGCCTTTAGATTTCATCCCATTCGCCTGAAGATATGCTATCCACCAGTAAACCTGCTGTCACACAGCAAAGAGCTCTGTGGGGAACATTTTTAGAACAATCCGATCTTTAATGCAGGTTTGGAGCTTGACTATTGGAGGCATTATACTTGATAATAAAATTTAAAGTCAAATTTGGATTGGATGGGGACGAATGTATTATGTCCTTTGATTCTCAGCAGAACTATTGCTATTGTCAATGGCTTGTAGTGCTTTAAATTGAGTCTGACCAAATAGAAATAATTACAATAGTTAAAATGCATGAACTAGATTGGTAAATTCTCTTTGTAACTTTAATCAAAGGCTATTGCTTTCTGTCATGTGAGCATCGTTGAGGTTAACATTTTTTTTGCCTTTAGTTAAGGAGGTGACTGCCCACTGTTGGCTTGCTGAAGGAATGTGTGCATTTAAAGTGGCATCCATGTGCCAGGCCTCTTAACGCCTTGTGACAACAAATTCCTGAGGTTATGGAGCTGGAAGATAGTGCAGGCTTTTCTGTCATCTAGCATCACTAATATGCCCCAGAGCCAGAAGGTTAGTGCAATATTGTCTCACACTGAGGAGTTCTTCTTGTATTTGCATCATATCAGCACAGGTGGCACAGAGAGACTCGTTTTCTCAGGAAAAGTTTCATTTTTTTGTCCATGCCGAGCTGGAAGACATGAAATTGAAATATTGTTTAATATTGCCATAACAGTATTGTCAATGCTGAGCAAAGGATGGTGAAAGTTCATCCAATACCAAGTGGCCAGTTATGTTACCAACAAGCAGAGATTTATGCTTTTAATGCTTGTCTCCAAAGATATTGCATCCAAGCAATCCCTCGCAGTTTCCATATTATATATTGTCTTGACGATGTAAATTGTGCAGCTGTACTTTGAGCGCCATGATTCGGCAGACATCTTAAGAGCGTTTAAATTTAGGTTTGCGTTTTCACATTGGGTAAGTTATCAAGCTGTGACGAGCAAGCTGGGACACACGGAGGGGAAACGAGCGGAGAAACGCTGTAGGAGCTGTTGCTTGCAGTATCCTCCAGCGCACTTGCCGCAGGGAGATGGAGAATTGATGGGATGAAGACACATCGCTGGCTTAAAGGCAAAGTAGACGAGTGTGGGCTGCTATAAGAGGATTCCTCTCTTGTCAGATTGCTCTGTGTCCCTCAGCGCTGAAGCAGACACAAGCCAGAGAACCGTTGTCATGTTTGCTGCAGGGCGTTTTCTGTCATGCATTATTGTTTGAAGAAGAGAATGAAAACAGAAGTATCGCCCCAGCTCTCTCCAGTTCCTCTCAGCGTAAAGCTACCTACTGTTGTGAAAGATCTTGGGGGTATGGGGGAGCATGGTGGGAGGCAGTGATGCAACAAGACTGTCCGCAGGCCATGATAGTCCAAATAAACAAGACTGGAGTAGACAGAAGCAAAAGAGGGATGTCAAAATAACGCTCTTTTGGGTGCTGCTAGGAGCTCCTGGCAGAGCTGGAATGGTGAGAAGGTGAGGTTGGGACATGCATGAACAGAGTCATGCAATCACTGTCACACCCCAACATTGTAGCTTTCAGTTTAAAACATTTCCATTGAGTTGCTGAGTCTTCCGATTGGATCATATTTAATTATTGTAACAGATCTGATATTGGAGCTCAATTGAAGAATGCAAGTCATGTATAATTTATTCTAAGGGTTTCACATTGGTGAAGTCATTGTGATTATCTCACACTAACCAGTCGCTCAATGCAGCTGCAACCTGTACCACAGGAAAAAGCGGCTTGGTTGCTCACAAAAAACCACCCAGTTCGTCATTCTGTCTGTCTTCCCTCTTTTCGAGTCTTCGTTCTTAATGGTCCACTCTCTTCCTTAAAAAAACAAAAAAACAACAAAAAAACCAGAAGGAACACGTGTGCAATAGGAAATGAGGTAATCAGTTGGGAGGGGGGTGTAAATGAGAGTGGATGTCCTTCTAAATCATTATCACTGGGACTCACTGCAGTTCACTGGCAGGTATGTCTGTTGTTACGGCAGGGTTTTTTTTTTTCATCTCTTCCTCTTAAGCATCTGTAATTTTCCATACGAGTTTAATACAGGAGGATCATGTGTTTGGTTGTGGGTGTGTTTGCCAGAACGTTCAAACGCAACAACAGGGATTAGGAATGTAAACTTACAGGAGACTTGTGTCGAAAGAGGTCTTCAAGAAGGAGTTAAAAATAAGCTCATTTGGACTGGGCAGCACACAGCGTCTGCTGTGTCAGAGTTTAAGTCTGTGGTTAGGTGGAAGTTCAGAGGGAGTGAGTTGTCAACTTCAGTGAGCTTCACAGGAACAGGTTTCGTCAAACTGGACACTGAGGAAACACACTTGCGACACACACACACGCACACTTCTGCATTGCATAAAACATTCTTCATCACCTTATGGCAAGTGGCTGATTTCAGCAGAACTTTGCCCGGCTGGAGCAGAACTTACTTTGTTTGAGCTTTTCTGGGGTTTAGGAAGGTGTGTGTGTGTGTGTCGAAAGATTGTTCTGGTTTTTTTTTTTTTTTCTCAGAGGCTGAAAGAGTGCTAGCCGGCCAGCACAGATCGAAACCTAATGAACTCTCTGATTTATTTACTCCAGTGTCTCACTCCTATTGAGTTATCAACCTCTTGAGTTGTTCCACACACCAACTTGCTCTTTTGCAGGGAGCAGCAGAAACATTTGGTTCAACAGCAGAGCTGGGAGGTTGAGTTCTGTGGTAGCTTCTACATTTACATATTTACCACAGCTGTGTGAAAAGGGAAACAAGTTCAGTTTTCTTTTCCATATCTACATCACATTGCAAAATAAGTCAAATCTGTATTTTAATTAAAAACCTTTCTAAATAGAGATTCACCAATCAGATTTCTGTGTAGTAAGTAGTCTTATCTGCTGATTCTAATTTTGATACATTGAAATGTATTAGTCACTTCAAACTATTAAAAATGTTTAAACTTTCTCTTATCTTAGATGAACACCTAT